GCGGCGGGGTGCGTGCGGCCCCCGGGGGGGGGGGGTGGGGGGTGGGGGGGGGGGCTCGTCGGGGCGGGAGGGGGGGCCGGGGCCGGGGAGGGGGAGAGGGAGAGGGAATTTTGTTTTTAAGTTTCTTCATGCAGCTTACAAGTACTGTATGACCATAGAGCCCAGGTTGTCCTTGAACTCCCCATGTAGTAGAGATGATTGGAATGATCCTCTACCCTCAGAGGTCTGGGAATAATCACATGAACCACAATGCCCAGCTTCTTACTGTCATGACTGTCTCCTCGAGGTCTAGTTATGTCTGTAACCATTTGTAGTGTGCTGTTTCTTCAGTTGGATATTAGGTTCTTAGAGCAAAGGCTTCATCTCATCCTCTGGACTTTTCCCAAAGCAAATAGGAAGCACATTGAGCACTCCGTCCATAATCTAATTTTCCCGGGTTTCCTTCTAAAATTTACCCAATGAAGGTGATAGAACGGAACAAAGATGATCTTTCCTTTATAAGAACTCAAGCTATGAGGATGTGTTCCTTCAATATTACTTGAAGTAGAAGTTCATTTTTCTTAATCCTCTGGATAATAGTTTGAATATTCACTGTTTTTCTGAGAGGAAACTGTCAGCATTCCTACAAGTAAACTCAGCTATATAGCTTGGAAAGATGGCACCATATAGGAGATACAGCAATCATTATCTTAAAGTCTCTTACTATTCCACTTTTTTCTTTTACTTTCATCTAAGACTAAAAAGCTAATCAGTATGTCCCTGTCTAAAACCAAAAACAAGTAACAATAACAAATCCAAAGTATTTCAACAACTTTGGCAACCTTATTAACAGAAGGCTTTCAGAATTTTGGCAGGATAGCTGATATTCTGAAATACTTTTTCTCCAAATAATTTCGTCTAAATACTTATCTAGAGAGCCTTCCTAATAATTTAACTAATGGTTCTGGTTTTTTTTCCCATTTATCAAGTGATTCCATGAAGAGGGTATCTGATAACTGTATGTTCCACATAAACACAAATTTCCAAAAGCTAGACATGTTGCTCAAAAAAAATCTTTCAAGATTTTAGAAAAGAATGTCAATAAAACATATCACATTAACCAAATTGGATTTAAAAATGGATTTCAATTCCATTTTTCAAAGTTTTAGTATCAAAGCTGGGTAGTGGTGGCACACGCCTTTAATCCCAGCACTTGGGAGGCAGAGACAGGCGGATTTCTGAGTTCAAGGCTAGCCTGGTCTACAGAGTGAGTTCCAGGACAGCCAGGTCTACACAGAGAAACCCTGTCTCGATAAACCAAAAAAAAAAAAGTTTTAGTATCAAAATGACCAAAAAAGGTGTTGCTATAAACACTGAACAGGCAGAAAACAAACTATTTTAAAAGTAAGTAAAAGGTCAGTGTTAGTGACTATAAACTCTTTCATTGTTACTATCACTCTTGGAGAAAGATGACCTAAAAATATAACAGCAGAGCCAACTAAGCAAGACAGTAGAGTCTGCCACAGTGTCCAGTTTTAACCCTCACACTTCTAAGAGATGGTCTATGATTTCCATCCCAGTTAATACCAAATGTAATCAGGTTGAATCCAGAAATGGAGAGCACACTTGTTAGGGATTCTCTGCTTGGTTTAAAGTGGGTGGATTTACTTCTAGTATAGACCTTTGAGGTAGAAAGATACCTGACTTTGATCTCAGTCTTGAGGTAGGAACATACCTTCAACCTAGGCCATGCCTTCTGCCTGGAAGCCTCTATAAGGACATGGAAGACAGAGTTTTTGATGTCTTTTGCCCTGACTATTATATTTTGGTACCAGGCATGATTCTAGAACAACAGAAGTATAACGATGAATCCTGTAAGTATCTGTAATTGGGTTTTCTTTTCTTTTCTAAAGATTTATTTTATGCATGTAAGTACACTGTCGTTGTCTTCAGACACACCAGAAGAGGGCATCAGATCTCATTACAGATGGTTGTAAGTCACAATGTGGTTGCTGGGAATTGAACTCAGGACCTCTGGAAGAGCAGATGGTGCTCTTAACTACTGAGCCATCTCTCTGGCCCATGTAATTGGCTTTTCAATTAGCCAACACCTACAATTACCAAAGGCTCTCCAGCTACCCTGTCTCCTAGGAGGTTGAAGAGCACTAAAAGCCCATGGTATGAACTACATTACGAACTTGAGATAAATGCATTTAACTATACTGATTTACCAATTCTGAGTAGTAATAAATTAGGTGACCCTGTATACAAAATAAAACTATGACAGTTTGGGGAAAAGTAGGGAAAATGATAATGCTGGTTGGTTATGGAATTTATCTATGAATTAACTGACAAAGGCTCGGGATGAGCTCCATGATAAAATCAGCCAACTTCTAGAATCTCAAAATATGGTGAAGGACAAAAAAAAAAAAAAACCAAACCAAAACTTAGTGATAAAAATTGACCAGCTCCAGATGTGCATAAACAGCCTAAAAGTTTCTAAGTGTGTCCTAGAAGAAAATCTTCTCTCCAGAAGCCACAGAGCTCAAGTTATGGAAAATCAAACTGAAGCCCTCATTATAAAGTTGGCAAAACAACACTGAAAATTCAACTCCCAGACTCAGAGGGTGTCCACTGTTAAAGTAAGGGCATTAACTGGTAGAGAATGGGATCCATAACTTCGGATTGGAATGTATAGGAGGACCCTATTGAAGCTGAGAACTTTGAACCTTCCAATTCTCAAGGATTTTTTCACTTGAAGTAGTACTCTAAGCCTCACTCCTTAAAATACTGACTTTTTACCCTTCACTGAGAGAATTAATCCCTCACTGTCTACTAAACCAGCAGTGACTTTCTCTGAAGGAGAAATGGCCAAATCAATGGTTTCTCATTGATTCAGGGGCAAATGGACTAGCTGGATGATCAGGGACTTGAAAAGAGCATATTGGGAAATTGGTGAGAAAGACATCTGGGGAAGAAGTATATGAATAGATCTCTCCAAATGACAAATTATATGAAGATATTTCTGTCCCATGTAAATGTTCATCAAAAGGTGAGTTCTGCTGAGGAAAAGCTCAATCATCAAGTAGATAGAATGACCTGTTCTGTGGACAGTCAGCTTTTTTCTCCAGCCATTCCTATCATTGACAAATGAGCCCATGAACAAAGTGGCCTTGGTAGCAGGGATGGGGTTATGCATAGACTTAACAATATGAATTACCATTCAACAAGTGACCTGGCAACAGCGACTGCTGAATGCCAGATCTGCCAACCACAGAGATAAACACTGAGCCCCAGATATGGCATCATTCCTGGGGTGACCAGAGACAGACAGTGACCTGGTGGCAGGTTGACTACATTGGACCACTTCCTTGTGGAAAGGACAACTCTGTCCTTACTAAAGAGAAACTTATTCTGGTTATGCATTTGCCTTTCCCGCACATAATGGTTCTGCCAAAACCACCATCCATGGACTTAGAGAAAGGCCTTATTCACCATCATGGTATTCCACACAGTATTGCTTCTGATCAAGGAACTCACTACACAGCCAGAGAAGGGCAACAGTGGGCCCACAACCATGGAATTCACTGGTCTTACCATGTTCTCTACAACACTGATGGAATGGCCTTTGGAAGAGAGAGTTGCACCTGCCAATTAAGTGGCAACAGCCTGGAGGGCTATGGCAAGGTTTCCAGAAGGCGATACATGCTTTGAATTAGTGTCCAATATATGATACAATCTCTCCCACTGCCAGAATCCGTGGGTCCAGGAATCAAGGGGTGAAAAGAGAATAGTTCCACTCACTATCACGACTAGTGACCCACTATGAAAATTTTCCCTAAGTTCTGCTGACCTAGAAGCTTTGGTTTCAGAATGGGGAATGTTTCTATCAAGAGACAAAACAAACATGCCATTGAAGCTCTGATTTCCTCCTGGCCACTCTGGGTTTCTAATGCCTTTAAACCAACAGGCTAAGAAAAGAGTAACGGTGTTAGGAGGGGTGACTGATCCAGATTACCATGAGGGAAACTGGATTGCTTCTGCACAACGGAGGTAAGAATTGTGTCTGAAGTGCAGAAGATCTTTTAGGGTGTCTCTTGGTGCTACCAGGTCCTGTGATTAAGTCAATGGGAAATAACAACAGCTTAATCCAGGCACAGATTCTTCAGGAATGAAGATATAGATCACTCCTCCAAGGGGGGAAAAAAGACCCAGTGAGGTGCTTGACAGAGGTGGAATAGAATGGGTAGTAGAAAAAGATAGTTATAAATACCAGCTAAAGCCACATGTACAATTACGGAAACGAGGATTATAATTGACATAAGTGTTTTATCATATTTTGTTAAGAATGTGTTTGTACAGATATTTGTGTTTTCTTTCAATTTCCTTATCATGCAATATAACATCAATTAAGAAGTATCAATGGTTATCATATTTAAGTTTGAGATACTAAAACAATGTCCCCAAGGGACATCTCCACCTATTCTAAATTTATAATGAGTTTGAGGTTTTACAAGGAATAGTTATGTCATTTTAGGTATAATTATAACCTTGTTAAATATATAACATACCTGCAATTGTATGTGGGATAGCTATAATTTAGGCATTATTATGACCTGGTTATTATTTTCATTTGGAAATTAATCACAACATAAAGAGATGACTGTGTGACAAGCTGACAAGGGTGGATTTATGATGGCTGTTCTTGGTTGTCAACTTGACCACATCTAGAATTAACTGGAAACCAGAAATAGAGGTCACACCTGTAAGGGATTTTCTGCTTGGTTTGAAATGGGTGGATCCACTTCTAGTCTGGATCATTGAGGTAGAAAGGCACATGAATTTGATCTGAATCTTGAGGCAGGAACATACACCTTTAATCTGGGCCATGCCTTCTGCTGGAAGCCTATATAAGGACATGGAAGACAGAAGCTTTTGCTCTTTACCTACTTGCCCTCATCTTGCTAGCACATCCATTCCTTCACTGGAATTAGAACCCACCTCTTTGGAATTCCAGTGTATACTGAGACTAGCTAAAGACATCCAGCCTTGTGGACTGAGAAACTACTAGATTCTTGGACTCTCCTTCCATTCACAGCCAGCCACTGTTAGATTGGGGGAATCCAATTAGAGTTAGAGTTGCAGCCTCTAAGTCATTCTAATAAATCCCCCATAACTATGTGTGTATGTACATACATATATAAATTATATACATATTTGTTCTATTAACTTCTATTACTCTAGAGAACCCTGACTAATACGTGGTCTCAACATCTCTATAAACCAATTACAAGCTATTTCTGCTACATCAGCAACTTTTTAGGGAGAGACCTCTGCTACCAAGAGTAGTGAGGGATTAATGCCAACAATATCTAGCCTTCCAGGAAGATGAGAAATACTGGGTCATTTTACTTCCCACTATTCTGTTCCACCACCCTCATAAATCTCTTAGGTTCCAAGACATATATAATCAGACTGCCCCATTTCCACCTATAACATGAAGAAATTCTGCCATCTCCAGGCTCCAGAAACCACTCACTTCTTAAGTACAGTAAAAAAATACATTAAGAAAAAGAAAGTTTAGCAATATAAGGTCTAAAGTCTGGCTTACCAGCATAAATGTCTATTCTGGTGGCATCTGCATCTCTGCAAAATTAAAGAGAAAGAAAAAATCCTTGAGATACAAATGAGAATATGAAGTATCAATCAGCAAAATGTATAGTGCAATGCATACTATTTTAAATTTTTCAAGCTATAGAAAAGACTGTTTTTTTTTTTAACTTGATCACACAGTTTCTCTGACATATGTATGAACTATTTCAAGCACTCCAAATTATTTAGGATACAAGACACACAGGAACTGGATACATTAAGAGCTTCATATATCCTAGTATCTCCGTGTTCACTATGTAGCCAAGGATGGCCTTGAATTTCAGATCCTCCTGCTTCAACGTCCTAAGCACTGAGAATACAAGTGTGCACTACCATGCTCAGTTTACACAGTGCTAGAGATAAAACATAGGATTTTTACACATTCTGTAACTTGCACTACATGCTCAACCTCCCTGGATATATTCTTTAAATGTTGATTTCACTATAAAAATTGTTCATCAAAAATATTATATACATATATGTACATGTGTATGTACATGTTCATATACATGTGAATGTACCTGGGCAAGTATGTATGTGAAGACTAAAGGTTGATACTGAGTGTCCTCTTTTCATTGTTCTCCACTTTTTCTTCTTTTTACACTTATTTAATGTGTTGTGTGTTCGTGTGCATGGTCATGGAGCATATGAGGTCATAGAACAATTTGGAAGAGTTGGTTCTCTCCTTCTACCACATGGATTCAAAATGGTCATCAGCTTAGCAGCAGGCTGAGCCTTCATCTTACTGAACCCTTTACCTTATTTTTACTGAACATGGATCTTGAAGACTCAGCTAAACTGGCTAGCCAGCAAGTGCCAGAGTTTCTTTTCTCCCTTCCTCATCCTCAAGCATTGGAGTTACAAGCATGCACTCTTAGGCCAGGCTCTTATTAGTGCTGGGAACTCAGGTCTTATTCTTGAACAGCAGCTACACTCATCAATAAATAATACATCTGAGTTTTAGTTTACATTCAATAAAACTAAGATATTTTCATAATATATCTATAAATAGAATCTTTGTTTGAACTAGTCTTTGTCTGTGAACAAACCCCAACTTTTATTTGGTCTTATACAGTAATATGTATATTCTTTTAACACTAAGAATACAATATGTGAATCCTGAAACATAATTCCTTACAAACACTGTTGCTAACAATGGAAGATACTAGACCTGGCATAGTAGCACACAGCACACAGCGCATGAGAGGAAGAGGTCAGGGGAGCTCTGTAAATTCAAAGTCACCCTAGTCTTATTTACACAATTGAGTAACAGGCCAGCCAGAGTTACACAGTGAGGTCCTGTCTCAAAATGACAAACAACAAAAGCCACAATGGAAGATAATGATTAAAAAACATCCACTTACAATAAAAACATGTATTTGGGAGAAGATGTAAAACTCTGGCCTAGTTTTAAAGGCATTCAGTGGTATATCGTCTTAGCAGCACAAATTAATATTATAACCTATGTTCCCATCAGTTTGAATCTATCTTAATTCCCTACTTTTCACAATTATCATGATCTAATACACAAGGGATGGTGGTTTGGAAGTGGTTAGTATCCTATTTTTAGGTTAGATCACAAAGAACAATGAATGATTAAGGTAATCAAGAAAAGTGTCAATTACTGTGCTAATAAAAATACTTTTTGTTAACAAGTCTCTTAGGAGTTATAACAAATACAACAAAAATGTCTTTCTCTCAAGTCATCTGAGAGCAAAGATACTGATGATCCATAAAGTTTCCACTCTGAGCAATTTTAGGCTGGAAGACTACATACCTTGCATTATCAACGAGTTCAGCAAGAGCACCAAATAAGAATTCATGAGTAGTTCTGAAATAACAAATTTTAAGAGTCAACAAAAGTAATATGAACTGGAGTCTAAAGTTATAAAACATTTAAGAGGTTTTAGAAAAAAAATCCCAAATCCTCATGTGCATTACTAATGTATAGTACTAAATTTCAACTTCTCCATAATACAAGCCTTTCTAGAGCTAATCATCAAGTTCTGCCATTTGCTAGAAATGCTTATTCTTCCTATTTCTAATAGAAAAGCCCATCTTAAAAAAGCTTTAAATTTCTACATGCACTGTTAAAAGTAGTGATAGTCTTCCTGGGAGGGAGGAGGTTAGGGGAGATGCCTGTATTTTATCTTTCATTGCTTTAAGCACTGGTCAATTTCTACATAGAAGGAATTATAAATATATAATCCTAACTAAGTAAATATCTTGAATTCTGAAAAGATATGATTACTAAACCAAGACTTTCAGAAACTTTCAGGAAATAACCACTGAAGTCTCTATTTAAAAAGCTAATTTCCAGCGCTGGGCAGTGGTGGCGCAGGCTTTTAATCCCAGCACTTGGGAGGCAGAGGCAGGTGGATTTCTGAGTTCGAGGCCAGCCTGGTCTACAGAGTGAGTTCCAGGACAGCCAGGGCTACACAGAGAAACTCTTGTCTAGAAAAAAACAAAAACAAAAACAAAAACAAAAAAAAGCTAATTTCCCCCTAGATACCCAGAAGACCACATCAAATTACAGAAGAATTTGATTAAAAAAAAAAAAGGATCTAGACAAAGACTTGGTTTTTCCCATCATCTGAGAAAGTCAAAAATAAGTATTTTTGTTTATAAGCTCCCCAAGATGATGAGTTTTCTTTTTTCACTGGTACAGATCACACTCAGGTACACAAACTCCTAAAAGGTATGCTCAATTTACCCTGTCTTAATTCATGTATTTTTCTTCTTTTTCTTCTTCTTCTTTTTTTGGTTTTTCGAGACAGGGTTTCTCTGTGTGGAACTCACTCTGTAGACCAGGCTGGTCTCAAACTTAGAAATCCACCTGCCTCTGCCTCCCAAGTGCTGGGATTAAAAGCCTGCGCCACCACTGCCCAGCATGTATTTTCTTAGAACAGTCTTCACTAAACATAAAGTAGAACAAGTCCACAAAGTATCATCCAAAAAAACAGCTTTACTTTTAAAAACAATAGAAAGTAACAGACACAAGCCATTATCAATTTTCATAAATTATTCTTGCTTTTTCAGTTTCAGTCAATAGTCAAGATGACATTTTCTAAAAAAATTTAGATTGAAATATAACACTAATACCTAGCATTTAAGAGCTTAAACCACTTATAATATTGGTCTAAACAAACTATAAACTATTAGTTTATAAAATCTCCTAACTGAACTATACGGGAAAACTGACTTTTGTCAGTTACTCTTCATTTTTTTACTGTGAATTTTTAATAAGTAAAATTATCATTTCCTATAATTTGTGTAAGAAATTTTCTCCCATGAGATCAGTGAATATATCTGTTGTTAATCCAAAGGCAGTACAATCAAGAGATATGTTGTAGCAAGACACAGACATTTTTTCTTATCACCAATTCACTTATGCAATGAAGTTCAAATTCTTCTGTCTAAAATCCAAATGATAAGCATTTGACCTGGAAAAAATCAAATTTCTAAAAGAAGCCTTGCCTTTAAAAGTCATCTCTTTATTATAAATAAGTGTCTACAAGTTATGGTAGCAATGTCCATATTTCTATGAGCCTATAGAACTGTAGATCTGTAATCTCCTTGTATCATTCAAGAGATAGTAAGATGAAGAACTCAAGGCCTGCCTAGACTATGTAGCAAGAGACTGTCAAAAAAAAAAAAAAAAAAAAAAGAAAGAAAGAAACAAAAAAAATTAAGGAAATTTCAAATTTCAAGTCTATGGGTTAAAAACCCCCAAATTGGAAAACACAAATATTGATATTATGATTCATAACAGTAGCAAAATAACAGTTATGAAGTAGCAATAAGAATAATGTTATGGTTGGGAGTCACCACAGCATGAGGAAGTATATTAAAGGGTCGCAGCGTTAGGAAGGCTGAGAACCGCTCATCTACGGAGGACCTAGGTATGCGGCATATTATTTGTCTAGCATATCTGGGCCTTATACTTAATCCTCATCAAAAAGAGAGGCAGACAGACCGACAATTTTTTGGAAAATTAAAGTGAATTGTTAAAGATAACATTAATTAAAAGTCAACCTAGAGACAGAGGCTGTAGCTCAGTGTCTGAGCACTTGCCTGGGTTAGATCCCTAGTACTGTAAAAAGGCAAGAAAGTCCATCTATAGCCAGGCATTATGGCACACAACTGTAATTAGGCAGGGCCAAGGGAGGACAATGACAAGTTTTAGGCAAGCCTAGGCTGTATAGCTAGATCCTATCTTTAAGACAAAATTATTAAGAGGGGAATCTAGCTTTGAGCACTGGCTATATCCTAAGTCTTATCTGAGGTGCAATTATTACTAACTGAATTATTCCAATACTTCACCACGATGACCTGAAATTTAGTCAGCATTGGCAATTCCTGATAGTCTCTATAGAGACTCAAATTATTTAAAAAAAAAAAAAGAGGATTCAAATACTTGTTTTCAAGTTTTCAGTCACCTATCTTCCTGTTTAATGTAAGCCGGAAAATTATATTAAATTAGTTTTCTATACAATCCAAAATGATTATGTAGAAATATAAAATAGCCAATTTTACTTTTAATAATTCCACTTATTTAAGGACAAACATGTTTTTAATACACGTCAATGAATCTCAAAAAATTAGCCTCTGGAGTATAGTAATAAGACATATCAGAATAAAGTACCGACTCACATATAAAACAGAGCTCAAATTTTTCTGTCTTAAAAAAAAAATGGGCTGGGCGGTGGTGGCGCATGCCTTTAATCCCAGCTCTTGGAAGGCAGAGACAGGCGGATTTCTGAGTTCGAGGCCAGCCTGGTCTACAGAGTGGGTTCCAGGACAGCCAGGGCTACACAGAGAAACCCTGTCTCGAAAAACCAAAAAAAAAAACCAAACAAAAAAAAAATGGTATTTCTGGGCTGGGGAATGTAGCTTAGTTGGTAGGGTACTTGACTAACATGTATAACATAAAACTAGGTATGGTGGCACATGCCCATAACTCAGATGTAAAGGCAAGAAGATTGGAAGGTTAAAGTCATCCTTGGTTACTTAACAAGTTCAAGGTCAATGGACTATGTGAAAGCTTGTCTCAAAAAAAAAAAATGGAAAACATTTCTGGCCTTTGATTGTAAAACTATAAGGAATTATGGGGAAAATTATAACACCCTTTTCCATAAGAACTACTACATATCATTAATGGGCCTTGGTGTTCTTGGTAAAGTCAGAAACAATACTCAGAATCTCAAATGATAGAAAGAGCCTATAAACGATGAAGCCATTGTTCTAAATAGTTCTAAAAAAAAAATCTTAAAAATACACAAAAATGAAAGCTTCCTTTTTTCCCAAATATTTCAAAGGGTACACTGTAGCTAGCATTTTAGGCATAATAAATATTTTTAAAAATATTTCTCAAGTCAAGCATGGTTGTAGATATCTTTAATCCCAGCACTCAGGAGGCAGAGGCAGGTGGATCTCTGAGTTTGATGCTAGCCTACTTTGAATAGTGAGTTCCAGGACAACTGGGGTTACATGGAGAGACCCTATCTCAAAAACAAAAAGAAAAAAAAAAAGACCACAAAAACCCAAAACAAACAAACAAAAAAAAACCTTCTTCACAGATCTAAGTTTTATTTACACATTATCCAAAGTCAACTAATTGGTAAATCACAAAGGCTTTTTATAAACTGATACTTTCAATCATGACTTTACACTTGTGACCCAGAAGAAACAGTTTTCCAGCTCAGCATTTCCAACAACAAACTCACATTTTCCTTGTTATATAAAGAAAATGGTTTTGCTATTTAGTTAACCTGAATTTAAACCAAAAAGTTGTCCACAAGCTCAAAGCCATGAAAATTCTTGCTGAGTTTTTTAATTTGTTGACAATAGTTAATTGCCTTAATTGGTAGAAAATAAAGCTAGTGGGACACACCTTTAATCCCAGCACAAGGGAGACAAAGAAAAGCACAAATCTCTGACTTCCATCCAAGACAGTCAGAACTCAAAAGGAAAAAAAAAAAAAAGAGGAAGAGAAAGAGAAGGAAGCATCCAAATTTTTAAGATTTTAACAGAACAAAGGTACCGTAAGACCAACCTTTCCTTCTCTGGAGTTGATTTATTGAACATTCTACTATTCTACTGTTAAAACATAAAAAATTTTTAAAGTTTTACTTTTCTCTAAGAATGAACTTCCAATCAAGTCATAATGACAAAAACAAAACAACAACCAAAAATAAAAAACTTGACTGTGGCCCATACCAGAAATTCCAGCATTTAAGAGGCTGAGGGTCTGAGAATCAAAGCCAGCCTCAGCTACTAGTTAAGCCTTGACTAAAAGAAAACAAAACATCCTCATTGTGGTGCTGTACAGTTAATGTCTTCTTCAAGTAAAACAAGACACAGTCAAAGAATCATTTCAAAGATCAAATTTGTGGTCCAGGTAAGAAATTCCAGAGTTTCCAAAATGATATGCCAATCCTATGTTGAAGCAAGCACTAATTTCAATTCAACATGGATAAAATTCACAGAAATTTTTCCAATATCACCTTATTCAAGTAATTCAGTTTACTTCCTTGCTTTGGCAGTGTTCACATACTGTTAATAATGTATACAATAGCAAAGGGAGAAATAATTCTCAGAAATTTAATAAATCAAAATGGAAGACTAATAAAACAGGAAGTTAAATTCTCTGCCTTACAAACAGAAAAACAAAACCTTCAAGGTAACAGCCAATATTAGGTTAAAAATATTAAGCACTGTAGCCAAATGCTTCATACTATCTTAAATCTGGGTACCTTCAGTTTGCCTCTCCAGCTGCCTCTCTGTAAGCCTTTAATTTATTTGAGCCTAAGTTTTCTCAAATGCAAGACATGATTAATTCTAAACCTATAGATTTGTCTTAGAAATTATATTTAAAACAGTAAGTAGCTAAAAGCAATGAGTTGCTGATACTATTGTTATTGCAGAGTCTATAGTGATGCTGAAACAAGACAGATTTTGAAGGCTAGTTCAGGGTCTTCCACATTTCAGAATAGTTATAATTCCAAATTTGCTCTGCCAGTTCAAAACTCAAATCTGATCTCTTTAAAGAACACACTCAGACATGAACATTTAAGTTCCTTCACCCGCTTATTCTTAGTATGTAGTTCAATAAAAAGAACATTAAAAGTGTGGCTAAAGGCCACTGTGCTAGGATCTTTGATTAGTGAACTAGGTTCCAGATTCATAATCTGTATCCAAAGTAATTTCTGTAGTATCATCTCTAAACTGATCTACCTCAATTAAAAGAAAAACAAAAACACCTTTCTAGATAATGCAAAATAAAACCTCTTGGCACTGAAAAAATTTACTATTCATAAGTTTTTTTTAAGTGTCATAGAATCACAAAAGACTAGAAAAATTACTGTACTATTATGAGATACCTGAAGTCTCTACTCTGCAGATGGTTCTTCTGACTAAACCATTTATTCATCTAGCTTTTCATTACCTCCTCATCCAAGTACTCTTAATACTTACCTTGAGCCCAAAAGTAACAGGTGAATGGAAAGATTACATTCTGGCAAGATAATTTATTGAAGGGCTTGGTGGCATGCACCTATAATCCCAGCACTTAGATGGTGAATGGAAAGAGATTTTTGGCAGGATAACTTAATGAAGGGTTTGGTGGCACACATTTAAAATCCCAGCACTTAGGAGGCAGAGGCAGGCAGATCTCTGAGTTCCAGGCCAGCCTGATCTGTAACAATAAGTTTCAGGACAGTCAGAGCTAGATAGGAAGACCCTGTTTCCAAACTAACTAAACAAATAAACTCTAAAATATTCCACACAAAATGATGATGTTACTCAAGAACCATGAACACAGCATGCATCTGTGGTTTCATATATTTTGGGAAAAGACTACCTAAATCAAGGCCTTTTAAAGAAATTTCCACTCCTCCTTAGCATATATAAACTACATTGGATGTACTGCTAATTTGCCAAAAAGATAAAACCAATTGTTTGTTGAAAATCAACAAATGTTTTCTTCTTCCAAGTTGATCATCATCTTGTGGTTGTTGCTGTTGTTAGAAACACTTGTTTTAAACCCAATTGTCTAGGCTGTTCCTAAAGATGTGCAACAGTTGATACTAGATGGTCCAATTTTTGGTGATCCAAAGAGCAGTTTTGTAGGATTCCTATTAAACACTTGGATGAAACAACTCAATATATCACTTGATATAAAGTTTGTATTTTGAAATTTTTGATCCAGTAAGTGAAAATCATTTTCTTCTAGATTACCAACAAATATTTCACTGATCTCAGTTCTTCAATACAGAGCTCAAGACATCCAGTGATACATCTTACTCCAATGACACATGCCAAAGAACAAAAAAGCAAAATTTTCTGGAGAAAGGATTTCCATATTAACATCAAGGAGTTGTTACTGGTTACCTCAGTGGCACCTACAAGATACTTACGAATTTGTGTGGAGATATTCAAAAGTTAGTTGAGCTCGGTTGAGACTGCTGTAATTTGTGAAGGCCATAACTTCGATGAGTCTTCAGTCTTTGCCCGTTAACAGGAAAGTACATATAGTGAAATAGATTTCCCCAGGATTCTGTCCAGTAAAGGGTAAATTTGTGCTTCTTAGTGACACATGAAACAAAATTCCCTAGTAGCTATCCAAAATATAGTAAGATATTTGAAACTGCGAGTGATTTAAGTATTTCAATGACTCTGATGAAATACTTTGGAAAGAATGATATCCTAAACCTACAGTCCTTAAGTGCTCTCAAGGTCAAGCTTCCTTCACACAATTCCGACGCACACCAAAAGTGAATGGTTCTGAATGGTCTTCAAACTTGGCGGTTTATTACAGCTTCAATTTCACGGTCTTCAAGTCCTTTTCTGTTCTCCTAAATTCAGGAAATTGACCTACTTCTGTCATAAAGCTGACGGTTCACCTACATCATTACCACCGAAGACTTTGTCACCACCGAAGACACCAGGCTCCTCAAAAAAGTGCTCTACTGGACAGTGCAGTAGAGTGGATGCTATTTCTGACTTCACCGCTTCCCAACAGAAAGGTCCTTGGTGCTGACTGACAGATTTCTTTTCCCAAACCCCGCCCCAACACAACTTGCTATTATGCCACAATCACCACAGGTGAAATTACTCACAGTGGCCCACAGAAACACCTCACAATATACCCTCCGGAATCACCTCAGGCGCGCCCTTCCCCCACACCCTTCAGAAGATGGCCTCGGGCCCTCAGGCCTTCCCAGGCCTGGGTCCTCTGGCCACCTCCTCGCTACTGACAGAGGAGTTAGTCCCAGATCCTGGGGGAACAGAAGACAGTGGCGAGTGCACCAGCAGATCGGATCGGGCGTTGCCTGCAGCTCGCAGATGCCTTTGTCCCTGCCCGCGGAATTGGAACTCAACCACCGCAGCGCGCTCTTGGAACCATGTGCTGTCGCTGCCGCCGCTGCCGCTGCCGCAGCCGCTCGCGCCGCAACACGCCGCGCCTGAACAGACGATGACAGGACGAGCGTCACGAGATTCAGCGTTTAGGACGTCTCTGCGGCCGATGCTGCCGCCGCCACAGCTACCTCAGCCACCGCTTTGTCTCCGTAAGTGCACGCAGCGCGAATCACCTCGCTCACTCCCGACGGCCCTGCCGCCGAGGCCTCCACCGCACCTTTGGCCAATCACAAAGCTCGAAGTCTTCCCGCCCCCGCCCTGAGACTCCACCTTCTGATTGGCGGGCAACGTTGTCCCACGTGACCGGAACTTGCTTGGCCGGTCCGCCCCCATCACGTGAGGGCGCACGCCTCTCTTCCTGCTTTCCTGACCCTCACCGCCATTTAAAGGAACAGTACCGGGGGCGGGCCGAGCGACGCAGCCGGGACGGTAGCTGCAGCGCAGAGCGGAGGAGCCATCTTGTCTTGTCGCCGGGGAGTCAGGCCCCTAACTCGAAGAAGCCCTGGCGCGCCCTCCCCCCCTCCCCGGTCTGGTAGGGCGAAGGAGCGGGCGTGCGGTCGATCGAGCGATCGGTTGGCGGCTCTTTCTCCTGCTCTGGCATCCAGCTCTTGGGGCGCAGGCCCGGCCGCCGCGGCGCGCGCCCGGTGGCCGTTGGCGCTCGCGCCGCGTCTTTCTTCTCGTACGCAGAACTCGGGCGGCGGCCTATGCTTTTGCGATCCGACGAGGGGTCGTCCGGGTGGTTGGCGGCGGCGGGCAACTGCTCCGCCCCGCTCCCGGGGAGGCGGCGGGAGAGGCTGGGGTGGCCGGGGCCGGCCTGGAGGCCTGGCGCCACCCTTCAGGGCCTGCTAGGACCCAGTTGGAGGGTCAGGAGGGAGCTGGAGGATGGTTGGTGGTGGGCTTTCTCCTTTGCCTTTTCCTACTTATGCCACCTTAGTGGGGAGCGAGAGCTCTGGCGGCAGCTCCGGGGTGGGGATTTGAGCTCCGGAGTCGGAAGATCTGGGTTTGCTTCCGGGCCTAGCCACTCGCTGGCCGAGTGACCTTAGGCAAGTCACTCTATAATTTGTTTGCGCCTCAGTTTCCTCCTCTGCCTATCATCAGTGTGTGTATGGAATTGGAAGCTCTCTTCAAAGTGTCGGTTTACATAAAGATGATTGTTGTTTTTATTTTTCTTTGAGTTGCAAGAAGACATAGCAATTGCTCATTCCCTGAAATTAAGTTCAGGAACCTTTTCTTGGAGTTGGAGATCGGAAGGTTCCCTGAACTTCTTCTGTACAGAAACACGTGGGAAAGTGTTTTCTAGGGGAATGAGTAAATCCTTCAGTAGCAAGTTTTCCTAAGGGGCTATGACCCAGAAGAGTTTAGAACATTTTTTGCCACCGGGAGGAAACTGAGGCCTACATGCCATTTGGGACCCTTCACAACCAATATGAAGCCCCCATTTGAGTCCCTGGTATATGTGAGCTGCTTCTTAACGCATAATGGCTGTTTCGGGTAACATCACTTCACTGCTTGGCTTTTATTCTAAGCCCTTTCCTCTCACCATAGGGTGCCTAAAAGGGTGGCTGATGCATATGGTACAATGGCACCCAATATAAAGCAGCTACAATTAGGAGTGAATGTGTTCTCTAGTAACAAGAAGTGTAATCTTTGGCCCAGCGATTGTTTTCTGCTGCTTGTACTGGTGCCTGACTACTTTTCTTTCGTTATCTATTTTTTACAACCGTGATTGACATCCATTATTTGCTCCTATTTTGTATCCCTGGTTTACGTGGTTGATAGTGAACAGGCTTATTTTAAAAGGTGCTGCCAAAACCAGTTAATGGTGCACATGGATTTTTAGCAGGCGGGCTCCTTGGAACAGACTGAACCAGGTGTTGGATTCCTGAAGATATTTGGGATTGTTTTGTTTTGTTTCGTTTGTTTTTGTTTTTTAACTGAAGGTTAAAGGTTTCTGAAAAGTTTTGTTGGACTCTGGCTGAAACACAGAATCAGTATATTTGGAATCATTTTGAAGCTTAACTTTTTCCTAGCCAGCCTTGTATTCTAATTGCTTGCAAATGTGAGACTGAATGGCCAAAATGCCGTTTGTCTGTTTATTGTCAGCTGCTTTTATCAAATTCCAGGCCATTATCCTGCAAACACTATTAAAATGTTTGAACAGTTGGCTTTCAAACATTTTCGTTTTGTGGCGTGGTGCTTATCAAGTGGTACAGCTCTCCAAGCAAGTGAACACAAACAAACATATTTAAGTGTATTTTGTATGATTAGATGTTACCAATTCTGATATTTTATTCAAATGTCTAAAAAAAAATAAGTTGACTATATTCCCTTTACCAAAGGGCCAGAGACAAATGGTTTTCTTTCAAGAGAAATGACTGTTTTGAAGAAAAACTGTGTTGGTCTTAGCTCTTTTGTAATTAAATCTGGATGTACCTCAAAAGACTCTTTAAGACTGTGGTGTTAAAAGGCTTTCCTCTGGAGAAAGAGAAAAAAAAAATCAACTGGAACTTAAAAGCTTGAAATTCCATGGCAAAACATGGATGTCTCAGATTGGAGGTTCATGAAGTATTTGCAGTAGTTGGAGTGGATACACTTTTCAGTGTAGCTGCCACCATGGACTCCAGGCTCCCAGATTTTCAAGAACTGGACCTGTGACCCAGAAGAGCTTGTCAAGATATGACAGGAACTCTGGAGGCGGACGTTTTGTATTCAATTTTGGAACTGTTGATCTTGCTGTGAATAAAGAGGCAACAACTCACCAAGCACTGCCACCAGCACTGTTACTGGGAACTTGAAGACTCAAGTTTCTGTCCAGACCCTCAGTGCAAACTGACAACACTCCATCCAAAGTGAACTACGGTACTTGCCATTTTCCAAAATGCCTTACTTCTCATTTCTGCACTTCTGCTGTTCATACTCTCTTTACCCTGGAAATACACTTCCATGGTTCTTTACCTGACAGATCTCTGCCATTTCATATAACTAAGATGATCTCTAACCCTGTAACTCTCTTAATATTAAAAAGAACATCTTTAGGGTAACTTTAATCTCTTATACGCAAAGTCTGGTTCCTTGCATGCATTTGTTCTCTTTCTATATAGCAAACACTGAAAGTAAGAGTCTTGGTTTTATGTATCTTTGCCCAAACATACCACCATTTCTAATGAAGCCTTTTTAAAAGCAGGGACCCTTAATCCTCAGTGTGTTTATAATTGCTACATTATAAGTAACATTACCTTAGATAAAAAGAATTGATTAGATTTCATGTTTCATTTCTTAATCCTAGATTTTTTTTAAAAAAATCTAGAGAACTATATGACCTTAAAAAAAAAAAAAACTGAGTCAGATTGGGGGTGTTATAGTCAAGAATGGGGACCACCAAGGCCTTACACTGTCTTGCTCAAAATAGAACTTAATATAACAGTTAGGGCAGTGTTTAAAGGAGGACAGCATTAGGACGGCACCAGGAAAGTTAAGGGTAAAATTGGTATGTTACCTAAAATCATGTTTTTGTGTGTCTGCCAATTGTGAAAACACTTTTTCTCCCTACCAACTAATGTCCAACCTGAATGTTGTAGGAATAGAAACCCCCATTAACTATTTATACAATACCTGAGCATACATTACTGCCCCAGTGTAGGACTTTTAAGGCATTTTCCATTTGTTGCATCCCTGAGACCGTTAACTTTGCCAGGAAACTTTTTGCCTTTGTTCATCCAGCTTTCACTTTTTTGTTGACCCTCTCATCTAGCAGTTTCTCTATCACCATCTAAGCCAGGCTTGTGAATACCCATCAGACAGTAGATATGCTGATAGAAGGCCCCCACCCCAGTGTTAGACTCCTCTGTTTATAATTCCATGTGTTTGTTACTTTACCTGTTTTTTCCCTGCCCCTTCTAGTCCCGTGCCTCCTGATTGCTGAATGTTCACCTGGACCCTCCAATGACCTTGCTTCTGCTACTCCATCTGCCTACAGACCTGGTACTTGGATTTTTGTCCATGGTGATTCCTACCACCTTACTACTGAAGAAGACACCATTCCAGTGGACCACTGTGACCCAAGAAGCATTCAGCCATCATGATGTGGCCTTTACCTCCACTCCTGTCCTACTCTGCCCAGATTTAGCACAGCCCTTTATAGTGCAGTCAAGAGTCTTCAAGCCAAATAACTGAAGCTATTTTATGACAACGAAGGCCAAGTTTATTCCATAAATGTATAGTTCAATTCTGCAGTTTATTCTTCAGAGACACATAGTAAACTTGGACCAGGGGATTTTGTTTTGTTTATATTGTCAACACTGTCTGAAGAAAGGCATCATCTCTGAGAACAGCATTGGCCCCTACTCCACAATCTCAAATGATTGAAGTTTCATGGACTGCCTAGGATCCTGTCAAGGTCACTGGACTCTTGTTACTTTCCTACTTCAAGTCTGTAGCTATCTACTGAATGAGAAAGCAGATATTCTGACTCATTGGGATCGAAACCAAGGCATATTGAATTCCTCATAGTATCATCTTCGGGTTACTCAGGAACCAAAACTTTTCACACCAATTTTAAGAAATTCTACTGAGGAATCCCTTTACTTAACCATCTCAGAAGGCTTCAACCAGATTCCTGAAAAGGCTTCTTGATATATCAAGATAGAACCTACATGGTAATCTCTTCTGTTTATATAGCACTTTACAGGTTCAAAGCACTTTCATATACATTTATGCCAATTACCAACATAGTCACACCACTTTTTGAAATGAGAGAACAGAAGTTTAGGTACTTTAGCAATTCCTAGGTGACATAGTGGTAGAAGTTAGTACTTCTGACTCCCAGTCCAGTATTACTCTTGGCATTATCTTAGCTTTCACCTTATCCATAGTATTAAAATGACTGGAGACCGAAAAATAGATCTGCTTCTGATTTATATGGTATCCTTATTAGAGCACACACAATGTTTGAAGTGCAATTGTAATAACCACAGCTAGACCAGAATCCCTTGATGACAACCCTAAAGTGTAGGAATAAGCAGTCTCCCTGGTGGTTGTTGATGATTTTGTTTTTTGTTTTGTTTTTTAAAAAGGAAACCAGAATATACAATATGAAACAAAAGTTTTTAGATTTTCTTGTTTATTTTCATGGTCTCCCCAAGAACTAACTATACTTGTTAGATCTGCACTTGTTTCTGTTGATTGCTTTAAGTTTTGATAATGTTCCTGAACACAGAAAGCTTACCTATAGTTTTCTGTTCCCAAATTAATATGTAGAATAAGCCATTTGCTCTTACATGTATATAATTTGTAGTTTTTGTTGTCCAATGATAAAATACGTAGCATGTGTTTCCACACAAACAGTGAAGTGTAGTGTATTAAGGTCTCAAGATGTGCAGCAAAGCTTCATTGAGCCCAGTGTTGTATACATCATTCAGACACATAGATTGCTGCAGGGTTGTTTTTTTTCCCTACATTCTTTTTAACAGAATGGGAAACTCAGCTATGTAACCAGTGATTCTTAATTATTGGCAGATTGGCTTGGAGACCCATAATAAATTCATTGTCTTTAAAACATCCTTTCTCATACTTTGTTGTTAACTGATTGAATTAGTGTGTTACATCTGAGGATTACATATTTTGATTATTGCCTTTTTGCCAAGGGAACTTCTAAAATATTTGTGGGATAATAGGCAAGAATGGGAGGGAAATGACTTTTGTCTTGGTCAAGTTAGCAATAACTTATCATTAGAGTCCTGTAACTTTTAAGGGGATTGCTTCTCAGGTATGTAAGGAGAAAAAAAAGAAGAGATTTTTCATAGAATTAGAGTTGTGGACCACTAAGATCTTACTGCTTTAGTGGAGTCATCCAACCATGGACTTCTCAAGTAATATTTGCAAAGAAATGGATACATTTTCCAATGCTATTACAACTTAAAACCAACAATCTTGTTCCCTGGTAGTCATTTTTTAATAATTTATTTTTATCACTTATTTGAGAATTTCATGCAATGTATTTTGATCATATTCCCCTAACTTCCCCAAAATTATTCCCTACCCTCTCAATTTTGTGTCTTTTTTTAATTTTGTGCTGCTTAGATACTTAATGAAACAGCCAAGGTTAACCCTTGTAGTCATTTTTAAGCTCAACTTTAATCAAAAATTTTAATAAAACTTTAATTCTATTAATCTGTAACATGGTCCACATTAGAGAAAGAATAGAAAAACTTGTCTGCTTTGTCTTAGCATTGAGCTTGCTTACCCACATTCTGGTTTCCATGACCTATTTTTTGTATTTCAGCATTTTGTGAACAACTTATCACTGATTTTCCAAAGGCTTTGTGCTCATGAAGTTCTTTGAAGGAAAGCTATGTGGAAGTCCAGAGTAAAGTGAAGCTGCTCTGGATGAAGTAGTGAAGTACAACCTGCTACAACCATCTTCCTTTACCACCATGGTGATGCCTAAAGGGACTTCCTTATGTAAAATTCTTCCGAAAATCCTGCTTGAAACCACTCCCCTAGACGTATTTGACCTGAATGGCATTCTCTTCTTTTATGTACTTTCAACTCAAAACACTTCATACTCAGTTGATGCTCAACATGTTTGGAGATGCTTTATCCAGAGAATGATGATAATACAGCATTGTCTAATGAAGCTTTATTAATAGCATTCCATCCAAGGTGGACTTCATGGAGAACAATGAATATGTATCCTACACTGAAGAACCCCATTAACTTTCAGAAACCTCTAACTAGTGGTACTGGAAGTACATGACTTGGAAGTCTATGTAAATTGCCTGAGAGCTGGTATTGAAGCTGATGCCTCCTTGAGGCCATCTTAGACCAATTTGTTCATTTGACCTCTCCTCATTAACTATGGTATTCCATGTACAAAGGATAACCATTAACTATGAAGCAGAATTGAAATACAATTTTTCCTAAAGGGATTTGCAACCTGGTTATTATTCATTGTCTCAAGTTTCAAGTCATGTTGATGCAACTAGTAGTTATTAAACTGCTCAATGTTTATTTGTTATTTAATAAATACTCTTTCCAGGGCTTAAAAAACCAAAACTAAATTTCTCCAACACGTCTATACTTGTCTATTCAAAATTAACTACTCACCACTACATGGAACAGATGATCCTGAAGACACACTCTTTGAGCATCCTTTATCATAGGTGTGACTTAAAATGTGGCTGGAAAGTTTCCCTCTACCCAGTGAAATAGTAAATGATTAGTCTTCATGCCTGATACCATCGACTGTATGTGTGTGATAGGCAAAGTTTGACATAGGCATTTGACTCTAGGCTATGATAGCTTGGTAATCACTTAAAGTAGCATATTGTCAACCTGTTCGCTGGAAAAATAGACTAACTTGGAAAAAAAAATCATCTATAAATGACAGCTAAGGATTTTTTTTTCAGTATTCCTGAGTTTCTGTCCTTGGGATATTTCAATGGAATTTCACCTGTCTCTTCACTTAACAGAGTGACTGACTTTATTCCTTACTATGAAGTATTCTTTCTTAGGACATTAAGATTACTTTTGTAGAAAGGATAAAATTCCTGATTATCCAAATCATCATAGTAAATAAGACTTCAATTTGTGACCTGAGAAAAATCTCATTTCTCTACTTTGTAGTCAATTTAAGGGCCAAATGCTACTCTGAGTGCACTGGGTAAACGTTGAAACTGCCTTCTTTATATCCTTGTTTCTTATCCTCTAATCATGGTTACATGATTCTCACCACAAATCAGCAAATCAGACTCAGATCTGGTTATCTAGACTGCTCACAGTTAACAAATCAAACTCTGAATGACTTCTGCTTGTATATGCAACTACGATTTGTAAGGAAACTACAGATTCATTTTTCTATTACCTCTACATTGCTAGCTCTTTTTTTTTTTTTAGTTTAAAAACAAAACTAAGCTACACTGCCAGTTATTCCCTCCTGCCGTACTCAGTTAAAACAAAGAATCGGGAATTTAATCAGTGATTGGATAAGTAGAAAGAACCAAAACTTAAGGCAAAAGCCTTAATCTAGGGCCTTTTCTACTATCTTCATGTCTTGGATTTCATCTAAATCAACAGTGCTACCCAACCAGTCTGAGGTCTTGACTTGCTTTTAAGATGATTCTTAGAGATGGGCTATATTACAGAAAGTGAAGACTTGATTACCAAAGAAAGTAGAGCCAACTATGACAAACCTGGCTCTACAATCCTACTGCTCCCAGATGTAGCATAGATTCATAACTAGAACCTCAAGTCTGCATTGAGGATAGCCTTCTAAGCTGACAGTTCTTGCACAGATGAGCAAGAAAATGAAAGCTGCTATACCCAACTGGCCCTTTTTAATATCCAAAAATAATGTCTGGACTAAACCCTGTGGAGTACCCAGGACAAAAACTAATTTACAGAGCTTCATTGTTAATCTGCCTGTTCTAGATTATAACTTAATCATTGGTATGGCTGGTCCTGCTTAAGTTGTTTGTCTGTTTACCTGTCTTCAGCTCTTAACCTGCCTTTTTTGACATGCTACTGCAATCAGACTAACTGGTTTTGAGAAGACTACAGTCAGTTTCAGCTTCTCTTGTGCCCAATTCCACCAAGGAATTTTGAATAGAAGGAACCCGTACCTCACCCCACCAGAACAGGAAGGAACATGCCGCATATCTTGGCCAGCAACTTTAAGTAGAGAAGCAGAGAACAACCGTGCTTATTTTCAACGCCTGAAACATCTATTTGATCTAACAGGAGTATAGAAGGTTGACAGCAGAGTACATTATTTCTTTGGTAACTCAGAAATAAATATGATTGGCCCAGAAATTGTAAATTCACCTTGACAAGAAACAGCAACACCAAGTTTACTGCTGAACTTAATTTACCACTAAAATACCTTCATAGACCTGCTTGCCAAGTAGGAGGCTAGTTTCCCTGCTTCACATCACCATTGTAGTGGGGCTCTGATAATACTGACTTGAATGGGGACCTTATGGTGAATCCTAGACTATGATGCTAATGGAAATTATTGTCTATTCAAGTGAATTACAGACATCACTCCTGATGATTTTTAGAATTTGATTACCAAGGAAGAAATACCAGCTGCTAAAAGTCAACTTTATGGGCAGAGATTAAGCTCTATATCTGGTCTTATCCTGGATGCTAGTTTTTATTGCCCAGCGACCATTTCCATCTCACTCTTAACTTCCTGATGATTTTTGGAACCATCTCTTCCAATTTTCAGTCCTTGTGGTTTAGACAGTCTTTTTGTGCTGGACATTTTGTTGCAACCTCATCAATCACAGCAAAGTCCATCTTGACTCTAGTGATTAGTTCAGGAATGGATGCATGATTCAAGTTTGTCCAATGATAATCAACCCTAGACGTTTTCTCAGTTGTGGAGAAGTTCTCTTAGATGCTTTAGCTTTGTAGGAGAAAACTCAAACCAACAGGGCCTACTATGTTGAATGAACCAGGCAGAAAATGAAGCCAGTACAGAGGGAAATGGAGCCAAAAGAGGAAGAGACTTAAGTTCTGATGACCACATTTATGCCCCTGTATCCAACTGTGCCTGAAGCTAATAGTACATCACCTAGACTTTTCAGTTATGTGAACCAATAAATTCCCTTTTTTGTTTAAGTTACTTTGAGTTGGGTTTCTATTACTTGAATTGAGTTCTGACTAATAACAATATTTAGCAGCAATGAAACTTGGCATGTTCTAGTTATTAAGCTAGAGGTCAAGGCGAAACTCAAATTATTTTCTAAAGGCACAACAGAAATTGAGAATAATAACACTACAGAAACAAAACTTACTGGTACAAAAGTTCAAGAGAAAATTGGTGAATACAATATGGTTCACCGATAAAACCTACATAGTTAACATAAATAAGGTACATTTATTGTGATAGGACATAGAAAAATGGCCACAGTGGGTTAAATGAAACACTTGATAGAAGTATATGGTGTGAACTCATTTAAAGGTTGTGCTTATCTTTGTAAATGCATAGAAAGGTCTGTTACTGACTGAGCAGTGTAGATTGCATGAGATTCTAATTCTGTATGACTATTTTAGACTACGTTACTTTTAAATTTCATTTAAAAATAATTTTAAAAGTAAATGCCCACTGTTGGACATTGCCAAGTTACTTAACCCCAAGCTTATCAAATGATTAAAAATACCCCCTGAAAAGTGAATCTAATACATACATTCTTACATTATGTGAGCTGGCAGACTTCTACACATTAGGAAGCTTAAAATTTAGGAATTGTTTCTTAGTTTTTAAAGCATCCTTTAAAACATCTTGGATCATCAAGATTATCAATGCTTGATAGCTTCATCTTACATGAAAAATTACCCCAGATTTTAAAGCAATAGCTAAACTACTAAATCCTGATTGCATTGTCCACATTAGGCAAAGAAAAGGAAATGAGTCACTTTTTAACATCTGTGTCACAGAAATTAGATTAGCAAGGCCTTTTGGATTGCTAAATCTCTTACACATGTATCTTGAATTTTTAGATTAGACAAAGTTCCATATCTTAAAGCACTCTTGATTGCTGTGACAATATACATTTACATCCTGGCTACTGGAACACTGAAGTCTTTTCTCCACTTAAGCATTGGTTTAATGAACATCTATTGCTTTGGCCTGCCCCAAGTCACTTTTGTCACTAATAGAGCTCCACTCTTTAGACCTATTGGTGGAACAGTTCGTGGCAATACACTGACCTCATACTCCTGGCCAAGGTTAAAACCGTCTAAGCATATACTATCAAAATTGCTGTCACACCAGGACTTCAGATTTGTTTTTGATACTTTGAGACAGGGCTTCTCTGTGTATCCCTCGCTTTCCTGAAACTTGACTGTAGATCTGGATGGTCTCAAACTCACAGATCTACCTACTCCTGGATTTCAAGTGCTAGGTTAAAGGTGTGTGCCACCACTGTTTCTCTAGGACTTCTGATTTTAAAGAGAAATTACAGAGGCAAAAGTGATAGGAATTGAATGGTTCTCATGAAAATATCCCAAAGAAATCATACAGGCAATGATGCAAAATCCCCTGGAGAGCCCATTTTTGAGGGCTGTTACTCAGATTTTCCTTTAATTGTAGACTATCATACATCTTTATAAATTCACCTTTTGTAAGGAAAAAAGCAATTTTCTAAGATTGGCAAGATAGCTCAACAGAAAAATGTACTTGCTCCCACACCTGACAGCCTGGGTTGGGTATCTAGTATCCACATACTAGGAGAGACCCAACTCCAGCAAATTGTCCTCTGACCTTCACATTTGTGCCAAACATACATACAAATAAATGTAATTTTAAAGTGAGTTTCTATTGGTGGTAACTAAATGACTTGAAGGAACCAGAAAATAAAATAGTAAACTTTAGACCATCATGAAAGCAATTGATTATTCCCCTGACACTGAATTAAAGGTGAGGTAACCCTTGTAGAAGGGTTCCCTAGAGGGAAACCTTTTATTTTGTGTTTTCCTTCAGCGGAATAGTATATAAAAAGAGCAAATGTGAATGGGGGATCTGAAACCAAAACCATTAGTTTGGGAAACAGTTACTTGTTCATTGGATAACCAAAGAGAGCAGCTTCAGTCTAGAGACATGGTTTTAGGCAAAAAATAAAACCCTGGTCCTTTGTGCAAACTAGCACTTGAAGATGAGTCCCCAAATTCCTAAAAGACTGAGCTAAATTTATAGTATTGCTAAAATCTTCTAAAAGTAACATGATTAACTGAAAGAAAACCAGTAGACATTCATAAAACAGGGTCCCTAGAAGCCAAAAAGAGAATGATAGATACATCTATGTAAAACAAATTTCTAAAAGATTTGTTAGACACATCTCCAACATAAGTAAAAGACTCAACGATTACTATCCCCATACACGGGATTCCTATAAATTACACTAACAGTTGTGTGTCATATAACAACAGATATCCTGAGAAATGCTTTGTTAGTTTTTTACACGAACATAAGAGTAGAACAACACAAACACCCAGTGCCATTAGGCTGAATCTATCAAGAGACTACTGTAATATGGGTGGCTCATCAGAACATGGCACATTCATGGAATTGTTGGTCATTTAGTGCCGTTTTATGCTAGGTGTTGTTTCAGGCCTTCACAGTCTGCTTTTAAGAGAGAAGAAATACTCCTGCAAAAGAGACAACCTTTAAAGCAGTAAAGTAACTTGGCCATGTTACACAATGAGTGATAGAGCTGTGACTCCCTCCAGTGGCCTATTCAATCTGTGCATGAGCCAGTGTGCTCTTCTGCATTTCTGTAAACATGAAAATATCCAAAGCAGTCAGTGAAACACAGATCAACCACCAAAAGGTACCATTCACATCAATCAGATGGCAAAACCTACAACAGTGACCACCTACAGTGCTAACAAAAATTAGGACACAATTGTTTTAACATTTTTGGTGAAAGTGTAGGTTGTACCAGTCTTTTTAAAAGGTACTTTGAAAAAAATTCAAGTTTGAAATGTCTGTTTCTTCAGCCAGTAGCTCTTCTTTGAAGATTCCCTCAACATACGCTAAAAAGAATTAAGGCCAGGCAGTTGTGGTGCACACTTTTAATCCCAGCACTTAGGAGGCAGAGGCAGGCGGATTTCTGAGTTCAAGGCCAGCCTGGTCTACAGAGTGAGTTCCAGGACAGCCAGGGCTACACAGAGAAACCCTGTCTCGAAAAACAAAACAAAAAAAAAAAAAAGAATTAAGACATACAGACATGGTATACAAAGTTAATTAAACATGGAAGTCAGATTTCTCATCCAACTGTGATCTGTTCATAATATATTTCTTAAGCAAAAAAAAAAAAAAGTATTAAGGAAAGTTACCATGGCAGCCCACTTTTATAAACACAAAAAAAATAGTGTCTAAGTAAAAAGGGGGCTAAAGAAAAGTCTTAGAGATGTCTTAGAGATTAAGAGCACCAGCTGCTCTTGTAGATGCTCAGTTCAGTTCCCAGCACCCACCCACATGGCAGCTTATATCCCAAGCTCCATGTGATGCCTTATTCTGACCTTGCATACCAATGTGCATACATACGTGGAGGCAAACACTCATACATATATTTTTAAAAGATACAAAATCTAAAATAGCAATTATCTACAATAGTAGCAAAAATTAGAAACAAATGAGAAATTTTTAATGCATTATTGGTGGGAATGTATGTTGTTTCCAGTCTCTCTAGAAGGTGATTTGATATCAGTTAAAATTAGGAAACATTTGAATGAAACAATTACTGAAAGCTGAGTTTCATCAAACTCAGTAAATTTGTTAGCATGGCTTTGTGGTTATATAAAGCAGGTACCCTTTATATCCAAGAAAATGTTATCTCTAAATTAAATAAATTTGAATATAACTCTAAAAATTGTTACATTGAACCTGAACTTTTTCTTTTTTTTTTTTTTTTTTTTTTTTTTTTTTTTTTTTTTTTTTTTTTTGGTTTTTCGAGACAGGGTTTCTCTGTATAGCCCGGGCTGTCCTGGAACTCACTCTGTAGACCAGGCTGGCCTCGAACTCAGAAATCCGCCTGCCTCTGCCTCCCGAGTGCTGGGATTAAAGGCGTGCGCCACCACCGCCCGGCTAACCTGAACTTTTTCTAATCAGAATATAATGTTCACATGGACAGCACAGCACTGAAAGTACAGAGAAGAAAGATTGCGTGTTAAAAGCCAGCCTGCTACATGGCTAGTTCCAGGAGTTGTTTTTTTTTGTTGTTTTTTTGCTTTTTGTTTTGTTTTTCGAGACAGGATTTCTCTGTGTATCTCTGACTGTCCTAGAACTCACTCTGTAGACCAGGCTGGCGAACTCAGAAATCTGCCTGCCTCTGCCTCCCAAGTGCTGAGATTAAAGGTGTGTGCCACCACTGCCCGGCGTTCCAGGAGTTTAAAATAAATAAATAAAAATAAATCGTGGTAGAGCACCTGCCTCATACATTCAAGGCCTGAGCTGGATCCCCAGCTTTAAAAGAAGAAGGAACAGAGTAAAGATAGAGTAAAGATGAATTTCACAACTATCTTTTGAAGATGCTTGCATTCCAGATGACCGAAGCTCAACCTTTGGATAGGCCTCTTCCTACAGAAGAGAAAGGGCTGATCATTAGCCACATTCTGAAAGAGGACTGGTCATCCTTATATTCAGTGGTTTTCAACCCTGGAATTTCGATCCCACAGGGTCACATATCAGATATATTTACATTATGAGAGTCATAGTAGTAGAAAAATTAAGTTAGGAAGTAACAAAATATTTTGTGGTTGAGGGTCACCACAACATAGGAGAACTGTATTAAAGAGTCACAGCATTAAGAAGGTTGAGAATCATTGCATCTGTTCTTCAAATAAACACACTTCTCATCCTGTTAGGCAAGTATAACCCCACTAAATTCAGGTTCTCAAAGAGGCAGAACCAACAGGATATTGGAAAAATGGTTCAATCCAGATACAAAGGACAGAGTCTCTTCTTTCTCGTTACCCACATTGGAAGTAGATCTTCCACTACTTAGTCTTCACACTAGCCTTAACACACTAAAAATATTGCTTTGCTTGGTTTCTTTGTTCTCCCTAATCCAGTACAAATGACACAGATTAGCAATCATACCTACTAGGTTTTTGTAGCCA